GTTGTAGGTAATTCCCCATAATTATTGGCCACCACATTCATCATTGAACATTGAATGCTGATCCTAAGTTTACTTGTTTAGCTGAAGGCTTCCAGTCAATTATCCACGCCATCTGGCACGCCGCCATGCACTATCCCTAGCTAGTTAAGCAATCATCTCACACTCCGATTTGGTCCCGAAATATAGCACGTAATTTTGACGATCAGTGGTAGTGTTTTACTGTGTCTTTGATCTACGCGGAACGAATACTATAGAAGCTGTTGGTATTAGATCTTGCGTTAGTATACTTTATACAATCCGTGAACGTCAATACCATCAGCCTCTTAAATATCATTAATTGATAGTAATTGTACCACCGAATCATGCGACAAGAATACATTTAACAATACTTTGTTAGTGGTTTGAGGGACAAAAATAATAGAAAGAAACGTATACATTGGATAAAATTCCATTAAATTGTTTCACTACAATACGACACCTCTTATCCGCCGAATTTTTCTGCATGTGAACCTAGTGTGTGCAAAATGCCAGTTATTTATAAGGACCTCACTTTTTTAAGTCTTCCGATGCGTTCTTAGCTTGTTACATCTGTGCTGCTTCCACTTGCGCTGACTGCCTGCAATGAACTTCTGAAAAAGAATTCATCAATGAAGCACTCTAGCTAGGAATTTCTTCGGGGCCATAACCTTCAGGCGTATTACAGAACGTGGGACAGTGATCTGCAGTTTGCTCCAAAGATTCTGAAGTGCACCTGAAGTCAATGCTAGCTGGGAAACTACTGCCACAGTCGATTAGAAAGAATCACTGAGTATTAGACTACGTGACTGAGAAATACAGAATGAAAAAATTGTAACGTAAAACCGAAACTCAAGAAATTCATCGGGACTCACTGAGTCACTGATAGCCATCGAAACGCCTAATCAGTTTCAAGAGACTGTAAAGCGAAAAAAGCCTTATGTTTGTATAAAAACAGTAAAAAACGTTAGAACAGTCAAATGTTACATTTACATTCACCACAGTTGTTTGCGAACCACGCATAACAAACTGTTCACTATAGCGCCTACGTACCGAAAATCAAAAATCCAAATGACTGCCACTGTTCTAGCCAATGAAAGACCAGAAAACCAGATGCGAGATTGATGTAAAACGCGAAACTGTTTATCCTTAACCCAAATGAAAGCAATAGCGTTTATATTAAGAAGGCCGAATACACTTTCATGAAGCTGTGCAAATGCAAAAACAAGTTTTACTTTTGAGCCCTTGGTCCTTTATTACATTCGGTTGCTCAGATATCGATATTATCTGACATAAGTGCAGCAAATACAACACAGCTTATTTAGATAATGCCATCGAAATAATGTAAGTCCGGAAAATATTTTAATGAGAAATTTCATTTGAAAATCATGTAAAACATATAACTTGTCTTTTACGAGTTGATCACGGATTGATATCATTTAGGGAACCATTGAAAAACAACTTGGAGTACTGGAAAGCTGTTTCATCCTTGTTTGGGAATCATCGGCAGTACGCACCCACTGCACTGGGTTTCGAACCCACGACCTTCCGGTTGTAAGGTAAGCTCGTATACCACTCAGCATTGGAACCCTATTTAATGGCCCATGAATTCTAAATTCTACTAATGCGTGATTTATCGCGATCACCATCCCATGTCATCTGTGGGATATCCATCCGCACACTTGACTGGATGGACCTCACCGGTCAGGTCTTCTCACTAGAACTCCAGGAAACTCCACCCTGTGGCAAGTCACTGGCGAGCATCAGATTATTCTTCAATAGTTGGTTCATAAGGATTAGGTTTTTTTTTACGAACTGATCTAATCCTTACAAACCAACTGTTGAAAATATAACTTGTCATTAAACCACCAAACTAAGAGCAACGACCCCACAATAAGATGGGATATGCAGTAAAGCCATTCAAGGAACAAGGTTCGGCAGATTTAGGAGTTCGAATACAGAGAATGTATCTGAGCCACTGGGTTATTTTGAACCAAAATCACCAATAATAAACAATGACTGGTTCTAAGGTTCCTCAGGATTCCAACAACCCTACGCGACTGGCTGGAACCAGCTGTCAAAGACTTCATGGCCTGATTTTGGTTCTGTTATCAATAATTCTTTCTAACCTAATACTATGTCAGCTAACATTGCTAGTCGGAGAGGGCAACGGTTCCATTTGCTCAAAACGTGTTCTAACCATCTCAATCAACGAAGCTTCACTATATCATCGATTAACTTCCCCTCATTTCCTAACACTCCGCCAAAGTTCACTACATTATAGAACTTAACATGGGACATAAGATGCAAACATCTGTGGTCGGAGACATTCGGCTCTTTCATATCTCCCACTTTCAGTGGCTACGTCTCACAACCATGAAGGAGGATAGAGCGAACGACTGCGCAGTACAGATGTCTTTCAACAGATATTGGGATTTCACGTCTACCTCGGAGATGATGTAAACTGGAAAATGCCACACAGACGTTTTATGTTCATGCTGAAATTTTGTCAGCAATGATTCTATTACCGCTGATGAAACTTCTGAAATATGTTAAGTCATCAAAACGCTATAACTACTTCACAATCAGATTTATCTGAAGCTATTCCAAATTTTCTGTTGAATGATCAACTTAGGCCGAAATGCTAGGTCGCTGTTGACATATCGACTCCTGGTACGGAGTTTTTGACGATGATTTGAGACAAACATTAGGTTACTTGGCGGTGGCTAACAGCGAAAACCAAACATGTCGCCTTATTTGAGACTCACCAGCTGGATAGAGATGTCTCTAATGGATATCACTTTGGCATTTGAAACGATGAGAGCTTGGTTCAAGCCTCAGCGATGTAGACACATTTGGCCAACGAATCTCAAGTAGGACAATACGCCCGTTTCTGATTCTACTACTAGCTTCTACCAACTGAATATTGGGTATACTCTTGTAAAATAGCAGTGAACTGACAACTCGGGGGCCAGCACGTTGATAAAACAACAACAACCAGGGGTGGCCTACATCAAGTGTGTTTATTTACTGTTGACTAGAAAAAGCTGGCGTGCGTTGGTGGCATAGCGGTTAGGACGCTCGCCGACCATGCACATGGTTCGGGGTTCGATGCCCGGCCGACGCACTCCTTTACCTCACTAAGCTAGTAATAAGACTGGTAAAAAGGGAAGGTGGGGCATGAAGCTAGCAACCCCATTCTGTAAAAGTAAACACTGCTACAGAAACTTCAAGCCACTGGCTTGAGGCCCGATGTTCCACTGGGGAACGTGAAGGAAAAAAAAGCTGGCAAGTGAACTTATGACAACAATCCGATAGTAATGGAATATATTATAAGAAGGGTGTATGTATGTGCTTATCTGACCAGATATCATGTGCCCAAGCCGAGTGGCAAATAGCGTGGCTGTGTGACTGCATGCCGTTAGCTAAACTAACCAGTCTACTTAAATGATTAAGGCAAAAACACACTTTGATTGCTCCCCCGAATAAAGTTTTCCTGCAAGAAATTATTTGTTCAGTATTTGAAACCTAAGCTGTCACAATCGGCTACATCAACACAGTTTACAATTTATTTAGGAGAGTAGGCTATATGCCTGTGTTAATCCTTTCGATTTGTTACACACAGGAGGTCCAATCTCGCCTTGAATGAATCAACGGATGGCGCTGATACGACGTGTTCCGGTAGGGAGTTCCAATGGTTCACAATCCGATGCGAAAAACGGATCTCCAAACGCAGACGTTTCGACCGTGGTTTTTGAACCTTGAGGTGATGTCATTTGGCTTCCTCCTATGAAGATGAATACACTGACTGTAACAAACATCTACTTGTTAAATGAGCTCGTGAACACTACCCAACAAAGGCAGAAGGTTAGTGTGACTTAAGTTCGCTAACAGAACTCCTTGTAAATTCACAACGTTCAACTTCATGTAAGGGATCTTTCAAATTCTTGAAAAAGACACGATCACATCTACCAAAGGTGGTGAGATCAAAACATTTGAAGCATAACTCTCATTATAAGTCGTTCATTGGATTCTTAGTGGAACATAAGGAAATCTAAAAAATATAGCTCAATTATAAAAATTCATGCAGTTACATAAAACCACACAATACGATGGATCCAAGTAACAGTAGTTAAACCTAATATAGCGTAGTGGAGGGAGAGATTAGTAATCGACGCTTTGTCAACTCAGAATACATGCAATAAGAATAATTCGAGAACCATTCCCGGATATCCGCATAATCCTATCAAACTTATGGAAAATTGGAAAGGAAGAGAAAAGCTATAAAAACCGAGTTTTGCAGATAAAATTATTGATATGACTATGAACAACAATGAAGTGTGTTCGGGACACTATCATCCAGTAAATAAAACTGTTTCAGTGTGTGTGTGTGTGTAAGTGTGTAGTACGACAATTAACTCAGAAGTAATTACGTCATTACTAGTCAATGCTATCTGATATACAAACACAAAGTCCTGAAAAGCAGTCTATCTAGGCAGTTCATACCACTAGCTAGGACTTCGTAAAATGGCACTGTGATGTACTCCTTATATGAATGGTATATATATTGAGGGACACCGGAAAAGTCGAAGTTGAATGAAACATAAAAAGAAAGTTATAGCAGTGAGTACCGTAATGATAAGAATAAGACAAGAAAGACCCTATTATTTTCATTAGTGAACTTATAACACCAGTGTAAGGTGGATGATCTAACAATCTGATATGTGGACTTAAAAATTGGATTATCCGCGATATGGTGAGCAAGGTCAGCCTAGAAATAAACCAATCAGTACTGGCCGACGTAAGATAACGCCCACCTCTTTATTGATCATGATAATAGATTAATTGACACAGTCTTGGTGATTTTTTGAAGCATACATTATTGTATAAAATATACCATGTCTGATACTGATAAAGTCGTTGTATATTCTCGCTTAAGTAGAACGGGTTGGAGGCAACAGGTAGCTGTCGTATAATATTATTGACACAATCAAGCGGAAAACGTGATTAGTGGCGTCTGTTACCAACTCCGTGCTTCTATTCAACTCAAAGTTTAGCAAAATATAACAATGATGTCTATTGTTTATGAAAAAATAAGACTTGACTTCTACACCTCACTAGTCTTTTCCACTTTAGTACGATATCTCACTCGACTTGACTGTTAATCAAGTATCTGCAGACCAAGATTGTTCCCAATAATAATAATGAAGATATTAATAATAATAATAATGGTTGTAAATGCATTTTCTTAATAGTTGAATCTGAAAAAAAATAAACAGGATGAATGTTAGTGACATCTCTTCAAGTATTTGACTGAATTCGTACAGAAATAATATTCGCACCACGAATAAACAATTGTTCCTTATATTCACTTTCATTGTTCACTTGCTCTACAGGCGCCAGCGATGACGACGATGATGGCTGTAAACTTTTCCAAAGTGCTCTGAATCACAAAATATGGGAGATTAAAAAAAAGAAAACAACAAAATAATGATCAGACTGTGTAGGTTACAATCACATGCATTATTAAAACTTAAAACTTGGTACATTATGAGGGACCACACGAAGTCTCATAGTCTGTGTGTGTGTGTGAACTGGCATAGCGCGTGGACGCCTTAAAGGGCCATGTTTGAGGGTTATACACAGTATGACAACATGAACGGCTGTACTTTCATCCAAAGTTCTAATACTTTTTTTACTTTGGTTGTGTTTCCTGAACTGTATTTATTATTTATTTATTTATTTAAACGCAGAAAAACTTGGTACAATATTGCACCAAGAAAGATGCGCCACACAATAATAAAACAACACAGATTGAAAGTAAAAATATAAGTAGAAAAGGGATAAAGAACTTCATCAGGAAGGAAAACAGTCATGTTTAACAAGTTCAAACAGTATTCGTTAACTATCATCAGGAAGGGAAGAAAGAAGGAAATTGCAACACGTTCGCCATTGATTACGATTCTTCGCCATATCCGATAACGTTTCGAGCCATCGATTCGGGCTATCTTTCGGACTCACACCAACCAGGGAGACGTGACGCATCAACCGATGCTAACCTAGCACAAATATATTTCATCACACGACGCCACGTCATGGACTGACCACCTCTTCGCCTTTTTCACCCCTTCCTAGGGCTGGCTAGCGAACAGAGACCTGTACGGAAGCCTCTGGGATGACATTCACAGCACATGTCCAAGCCACCGAAGCCGGTGTTTCCAGATGACGACGCTCAACCAATGGTGATCTCTACTGTGTTCAAACACACACGCTGCTGAACCTCAGAATTACTCACGCGATGATGCCATAGAACGCAAGCAATCCTGCGGAGACAGCGATGATCGAACACACAGAGTCGCCGCACATCCTCAACTCGGAGAGGCCAGGTTTCACAGGTGTAGAGCAAGACAGCCCGCACCGAAGCATTGTATACGCGATACCCTTTGACAGCCAGGCTAACGTCGTGACGGCGCCAGAGGTGGCTGAAGTTGATGTATGCCATCCTAGCCTTCATTATACGGTTGGAAATCTCATCCGTCACCTCTCCGCCAGCACTCACACAACTACCCAGGTACACAAACTTATCAACAACTTCAAGCGGTTCACCCGCAAGAGTGATTGCAGGTACAGGCTCCTGCCAATCTTGTAACAGTACTTTGCACTTAGATGGTGCAAAGCACATACCATACTTACAGACACTGAACTGACTGATTTAATTGCGAAGCCTTAGTTGTCCTACTTCTAGACAACATGGCTTCACCATAAGCTTTATTTTATTAGGTTAACCTATTTGAATTCCCCATGAATGATATAATAATATCTCCTGACAACAACCATTGTCGTGATTGATTGTCAGTTTACATAGATCATTTTTATTGACCTGGAATTTGAACTTTCTTGTCATGATATTTATTTTTTTACCATTTGGTAAATTCGATCTATAGTAATGTGGTTTTTAACGGCTAATTCATTTTAGTAGCGGGCTTCTAGTAATTCCCTGATATTTTTGGTGTTGCGCCCCTGTTTAAAATGTTTACATTCTCCCAATCAAATTTATGTCTGTATGCATCAATTTGGTTGTAAGGGGATAAAGTTGGTGAAGTTAAACTTTAAGCAGCACTAACTACCAATGGAGTGCGACCGCATCAATGACCTTGAAACGCCCGCTGAGCAAGTTAGCAAGACCTGGCAAATAACGCTGTCATCATCAATAAAATATGCTCATCGAAGAGTTATGGTATTAAGTGGGATATCTGGGAAGTTTCAGTTTGAAGCCAAGGACAAGTTAGGGTTAGGTTAACCTAATAAAGGCGACGTTAGGGTTAGTTCAAGTTAGATTAGGGTTATTTTAGGCATATTTTCACGTTACGGCTGGGTTCAGGAAAGATTAGGGTTATTGTTATGGCTGGAAGACCTAAATAATTACATGGATAGAGTGTGGTTAAATTACTGTGTTGATATACGAATAGAAGTTGTGCATTGTGGTAGAGTATGATTCCATTGTAGGTAAAATTTATTTTGATAAAGTCTTACAGTGTTATTCAGTAACATTTACCAATGACCTTTCGGGCAGAGTTTATCGCTCAGTAAATACTACAGTATAACACTGTGAGACTTTATCAAAATAAATTTTACCAACAATGGAATTATACTGTTGATACTCCAACCTAAAACTGAGAGCTATTTTTATCATATGTGAGAGTAACGTATCCTCTGTAACCCATTTCTGCAGTTTTTCCATAAATATATGTATTCCATACAAATAAAATGCCCCCTTCATGCGATTGGTGCATTTGAGGTCATTCTCTGACTGGCAGTTAGTGGTGCTTAAAGTTTAACTTTGCCATAAAGTTATATCATTCATAGCGAATTCAGTTAAGTTCACTTCGAATTAAAGCTTGCATTGAAGCGATGTTACCTAGAAGGAGGAAAACGAAGCTTCGCAATCCAATCAATCAAATCAAAATCATCCACCTGAGCTACAAATCTTCTCTATTATTTCAAATTCCTAGGTTAAGAACACCTAATTAGCCTACAAACTGAATAATGAAAGTTAGTCAGGTGACTGACATCTGATCGACACAAGAAATCTTGGTAGACACCTAGAATCACTTCAAAATTATACATAAACAAGGAAGTCCTTGCACACTGAAAGGTACTCAAAGGCCAATTCCGTCTAAGTGTTAAAACCTGATATATGTATTCAAAGAGAAGCTGTAGTAAGTCTGTTTCTTGGTAAAAATCGGCACTTAACACTTTAGTGGATAGCACTACACTTTGCTACATGTAATTGTTAACCTCTTTCTACTCTTAATTACTTACATCATCACTTATTACACGCTGTGCTTTATATGCGTCTGACGCCTAACTAAATAAGTTCCTACTCACAACATATGTATACTTTGTTATATTTCATTTATCTATCAACGACTTCCTAATGACCGAACAAAAGCTTATTAATTTTCATTATTCAGGTTGTTAAAAAAGATACCGAGAAGACGTATTGTTATTAACTTATATATATATATATATATATATATATATATATAATTCCTTTACGTTCCCAGTGGAACATAGGGCTTCAAGTTAGAGGCTTGAAGTTTCGGTAGCAGTGGTGTTTATTTTTACAGGATGGGGTTGCTAGCCTCATGCCCAACCTTCCCTCTTTACCAGTCTTATTATTAGCTTAGTGAGGTAAAGGGGTGCGTCGGGCGGAGATCGAACCGCGGACCACCTACGTGGTTGGCGAGCATTCTACCGCTGTGTCCAAATTCATTAAACAGAATTCATATACGAGATTATCAAATTACTGAATACAAGAATTTTCATGTAATTATTACCAAACAAATTAAAATCAGTCATTATTTAGCTCAATTCGGATTTTCCCACATGCACCTGAAGAGTCCCAAATAAGACGAAACGCGTATCCTGGATTCTGCAACTAATTACTGTCCACTAAATGACTCCGAATTAAAATCAGCTTTTAAAAATCACGATTAAAGACTGAGTCGGTATAGTTCAGCAGGAGAATGCTCGCCAACCATGCATGTGGTCTCAAAGGTTCGAGGCTAGCAACCACATCCCGTAAACAAAACATCCATGCCGCTGAAACTTCAAAGCTGAAGCTTGAAGCCCCCTATGTTCCACTGAGAATGCAAAGGAATAAAATAAATAATACGATTAAAAACTAAAGCCCTCATTCAATAGGTGTTTCTTCATCAGATTTTTGAGATTATTCGGTTAAAATCAACACAATCCCTAAAAATGATCGGGATCAAATCTAACGAGGTATGTACGAGGAGACAAGTAGGGTACCATTAGACTAACGAGTAAAGTATATCCCAATGATATCTATCTGGTTAGCGGTTCATCTCTGACTATGCGACGTCACATCTGCCAGTGAAATTAACTAACCACCCCCACCCCACTAAATTCATTTTTGTTGCCAACAATGTACTTCAATGTACCTTTTTTTAACAACCGAAAACAGTGGGAAGTAAGAAAGCTGGTGGGGAGCATTGAGTAGCTAGCTGTTTCTTCTTCACTTTGGGAATTTTCAGCAGTGTGCACTCAAGGCTCTACTCAAGCGTCGAACCGAGGATCTTGAAGTTGCAAAACTATCCCACCACATTAGAAGCTGGAATTTAATCATATATATATATATATATGGGGATAGTCAAGGGCAGGATCCGAAAAGCATGACAGAACTTCATTAATCTGAAACCAGTGTGGTAATCTGCTGTACTCAATATAAAGAACAAGATCAATATCTCCAACGCAAGTGTCAAGTCATTACTTCCAACAGTCTGCAAAGATTCATCAACAGCTGTCTTCGCTTCATGCTGTAAATCAGATGGCCAGTTGGAGTGGATAAGTGATAAGAAACTCTGGCAGTGAATCAAATAAATCAAATCAATAAATATGCAGAGGGAAACGGCGATGGATTAGACACAACGATGAGGAGATTGTTAAGTGACATAACACACCAGACAGAGCTGTCGAGTGGAAGCCAAATGGGGAAACGACGAGTTGGGCATCCAAGTGTGTTACGAAGGCGATCATATGAGTAGGAGAAGATGACAGATAATGTGGAGCAATTGTGGAGCCAGATAAAAAGAAAACGACAGAGAACACAGTGAAATGGAGATGCGCCTCGGATGAAGTCCTGTGTTCAACTCGGAACCCAAGGGAATAATAATAATAATACATAACACCATGGCTATTCTCTAACTGATATCAATACATCAACTAAATCTACTCTGAAATTAGACAAAATCCGTAGGGGATTTAAAATCTGAACACTACAATTGACAAATGATAATGAATAGTACCAAAATAAACATTGAACTCACATATCTGAAAGTTCAGAGATACCTCTTTTTTGAAAATTGACCATAGATGGTTTCCAATTAGAAGTATCAGAAGCAACTTGAATACATTTATCTGAACGTTGAATATTATTATTATTATTATCATCATCATAAGTATTTGTCGCTTCCATTAATACATTTGGTATATTTTCTTTCACATAGTCTACACTTTGAGATAAATCAAGCTGACTCGTTTCCTCTGCTTCGAACAATACTTCATTCGATATCGCTAAAATGATATATAACGGGAAAAATTAAGATTAATAATAATTAACTTATAGGACAGAGGTGGGGGGAAATAAAGATGATCGTGTAGAGAATAGTGCTACCTCGACTGAAAGATGAAGTACCTAGACTAGCCACTTCAAATTGTATCTACCAATTCAACTGCGCTTGTGGTGGAGCGAGTTATATTGGCCGTTGCTCTAGGAACTTGATTTTTCGTGCTCGCGCAAGAACATCTCCCACTATGGCTAAGTAAAGGTGTAGTGAAAACTATTAACAGCTCGATATTGAACCATCTGGTGCAAACCGGTCACAAAGCCAGCCAGCGTAGAAGAATCCTTCTCTATAATATACCGGGTGCCTAATAAATTACCAAAATCGTCGAAGCACCGCATGCTCCAAACAGCAGAGGCTATTGCAATTCGCCTCAAACAACCAGTGCTCTGTGTCCAAAAGAAACAAGTCCAGCCCCTACTACTGCCCTGGCCCTCAGTAGAGACTATAAACTCATGAATTTGTAATATTATCTTTCCTAATTCTTCTGACATTCAGTTTATTTTATGTTGATGCTGTTCAGCTGTAATTTATCAATATTATTGATTTGATGTTATTTAAACATTAATGTCGTTCATAAGACTAATTCATTCATTCATTACAATGTATATATAATTGTAGAGCCTGATGATGAATTTATCGAAAAGAGTACTCTTTGTTCCATGTCCATTCTTTTGAAAATAATAATTAACTTATAGGACAGAGGGAGGGGAAATAAAGAAATTCTTGTATAAAGCTATACACTACTGACTGGTTGACATCAGTAGTTGTATACTATTCATCATACCAACCTGTAGTGCTTGCTAGTCAGTCAGATCGATGTGAACTAGACACCACTGGAGGGGTGTCTGAACTCATCAACGGCGTATACAGTTTGATTCATATATCAGACAGTCGAATTATTCCAAACCACTGGATTTCTGGCTAGCTATTTGAATGAACACTAATGATACCGAATTTGACATTAATAACACATAAGTCAGCAAAGAGATCCTGTCTTTTCGTAACTTCATTTCAAAGCTCTACAGTTATTTAGGGGGTTTATATATAAAATGTAGATTGATGACAGAGGTCAAAGGTTAGTAGGAAAGTAAACCAAAGTTCATAAGTAATGACGGCAACTCTAAAGAATAGGAGCCCAAACAGAAACGCCCCACGAACGCACAAACGACTTTGAGAAACCAATCAGGTGACTCTGTTGTTTCTAGAAGTAATTATGGATGCTCTACACCTTTTGCGTTGTAAATTCGCTCCGGATCTTGTTTTTCGAGGAGTTGGCGTAATCGTTCAAATTGATGAGACCGTATTAATAAAAAGGAAATATAATCGCTGCAGATTACGAGCAAACCAGCAATGGATTTTGAGTATCTATCACACCACTCTCCAAAAAGGATATATTGAGGCGATTCCTAATCGCAGTGCAGGTGTATTATTGCCTATTATCCAGCGCTTAGTGCTACCTGGGACCACTATTCACACAGACGAATGGAGCAGTTACGGTCAGTTGTCGAATCTCGGGTATATTCATCATGTAGTCAACCACACAAACGGTTTTCGCAATACTTTGGATGGAACTCATACTAATTCAATCGAAAGTTTCTGGAGTCACCTAAAAAAACGGATTAGATTGGTGAATGGATCTAGAAATTCAATGATATACAGTTATCTTGATGAGTTTATGTATAGAACTTGGTTTAACATCAGTATGAAGACACCTATGAGAAATTGGGAGGTTTTCTTTTGCAACATATACGAGAACGTTATCCATTGTAACTATTTTTTAACATTGCATTACTTTTATATAAACGATTTTTTACAATTATGCGCCTTTTTTGAGCCCTCTGATTGGTCGAAGTTGTCCTTGACATGGTCGTTTCTGATGATATTAGCTGGTTGGAGGCAATCGGCAGGAAGCCTTGGACCTAGGTTTCGTGCTAGTTGGCACTCGTCAGCAAGGCGTATCTGCAACCTTGAAGGAACTCATGTCCCTTCTGAGATTCGAACCCGCGTCACCCAGTGCTGCAGTCAGAGACGTTACCACTGAGCTATTCGGGCTCGCGATTGACCTCCTGTAGGACTGTAGTGGATATTTTGATTTGACACTAGTAACTAGTGGGATGCGTCTAGTCCTCTCTTTGGTGCAGACTGAATTTTATCAGTCAGGTTGTAATGTGGCCACCATTCTAGGTAGCTCGCCATCACGGTGTACATAGTTTGTGATGATATTAGGTGGTTGGAGGCAATCGGCAGGAAGCCTTGGACCTAGGTTTCGTGCTAGTTGGCACTCGTCAGCAAGGCGTACCTGCAACCTTGAAGGAACTCATGTCCTTTCTGAGATTCGAACCCGCGTCACCCAGTGCTGCAGTCAGAGACGTTACCACTGAGCTATTCGGGCTCGCGATTGACCTCCTGTAGGACTGTAGTGGATATTTTGATTTGACACTAGTAACTAGTGGGATGCGTCTAGTCCTCTCTTTGGTGCAGACTGAATTTTATCAGTCAGGTTGTAATGTGGCCACCATTCTAGGTAGCTCGCCATCACGGTGTACATAGTTTGTGATGATATTAGGTGGTTGGAGGCAATCGGCAGGAAGCCTTGGACCTAGGTTTCGTGCTAGTTGGCACTCGTCAGCAAGGCGTATCTGCAACCTTGAAGGAACTCATGTCCCTTCTGAGATTCGAACCCGCGTCACCCAGTGCTGCAGTCAGAGACGTTACCACTGAGCTATTCGGGCTCGCGATTGACCTCCTGTAGGACTGTAGTGGATATTTTGATTTGACACTAGTAACTAGTGGGATGCGTCTAGTCCTCTCTTTGGTGCAGACTGAATTTTATCAGTCAGGTTGTAATGTGGCCACCATTCTAGGTAGCTCGCCATCACGGTGTACATAGTTTGTGATGATATTAGGTGGTTGGAGGCAATCGGCAGGAAGCCTTGGACCTAGGTTTCGTGCTAGTTGGCACTCGTCAGCAAGGCGTATCTGCAACCTTGAAGGAACTCATGTCCCTTCTGAGATTCGAACCCGCGTCACCCAGTGCTGCAGTCAGAGACGTTACCACTGAGCTATTCGGGCTCGCGATTGACCTCCTATAGGACTGTAGTGGATATTTTGATTTGACACTAGTAACGAGTGGGATGCGTCTAGTCCTCTCTTTGGTGCAGATTGTCTGACTGATAAAATTCAGTCTGCACCAAAGAGAGGACTAGACGCATCCCACTAGTTACTAGTGTCAAATCAAAATATCCACTACAGTCCTACAGGAGGTCAATCGCGAGCCCGAATAGCTCAGTGGTAACGTCTCTGACTGCAGCACTGGGTGACGCGGGTTCGAATCTCAGAAGGGACATGAGTTCCTTCAAGGTTGCAGATACGCCTTGCTGACGAGTGCCAACTAGCACGAAACCTAGGTCCAAGGCTTCCTGCCGATTGCCTCCAACCACCTAATATCATCACAAACTATGTACACCGTGATGGCGAGCTACCTAGAATGGTGGCCACATTACAACCTGACTGATAAAATTCAGTCTGCACCAAAGAGAGGACTAGACGCATCCCACTAGTTACTAGTGTCAAATCAAAATATCCACTACAGTCCTACAGGAGGTCAATCGCGAGCCCGAATAGCTCAGTGGTAACGTCTCTGACTGCAGCACTGGGTGACGCGGGTTCGAATCTCAGAAGGGACATGAGTTCCTTCAAGGTTGCAGATACGCCTTGCTGACGAGTGCCAACTAGCACGAAACCTAGGTCCAAGGCTTCCTGCCGATTGCCTCCAACCACCTAATATCATCACAAACTATGTACACCGTGATGGCGAGCTACCTAGAATGGTGGCCACATTACAACCTGACTGATAAAATTCAGTCTGCACCAAAGAGAGGACTAGACGCATCCCACTAGTTACTAATGTCAAATCAAAATATCCACTACAGTCCTACAGGAGGTCAATCGCGAGCCCGAATAGCTCAGTGGTAACGTCTCTGACTGCAGCACTGGGTGACGCGGGTTCGAATCTCAGAAGGGACATGAGTTCCTTCAAGGTTGCAGATACGCCTTGCTGACGAGTGCCAACTAGCACGAAACCTAGGTCCAAGGCTTCCTGCCGATTGCCTCCAACCACCTAATATCATCACAAACTATGTACACCGTGATGGCGAGCTACCTAGAATGGTGGCCACATTACAACCTGACTGATAAAATTCAGTCTGCACCAAAGAGAGGACTAGACGCATCCCACTAGTTACTAGTGTCAAATCAAAATATCCACTACAGTCCTACAGGAGGTCAATCGCGAGCCCGAATAGCTCAGTGGTAACGTCTCTGACTGCAGCACTGGGTGACGCGGGTTCGAATCTCAGAAGGGACATGAGTTCCTTCAAGGTTGCAGATACGCCTTGCTGACGAGTGCCAACTAGCACGAAACCTAGGTCCAAGGCTTCCTGCCGATTGCCTCCAACCACCTAATATCATCACAAACTATGTACACCGTGATGGCGAGCTACCTAGAATGGTGGCCACATTACAACCTGACTGATAAAATTCAGTCTGCACCAAAGAGAGGACTAGACGCATCCCACTAGTTACTAGTGTCAAATCAAAATATCCACTACAGTCCTACAGGAGGTCAATCGCGAGCCCGAATAGCTCAGTGGTAACGTCTCTGACTGCAGCACTGGGTGACGCGGGTTCGAATCTCAGAAGGGACATGAGTTCCTTCAAGGTTGCAGATACGCCTTGCTGACGAGTGCCAACTAGCACGAAACCTAGGTCCAAGGCTTCCTGCCGATTGCCTCCAACCACCTAATATCATCACAAACTATGTACACCGTGATGGCGAGCTACCTAGAATGGTGGCCACATTACAACCTGACTGATAAAATTCAGTCTGCACCAAAGAGAGGACTAGACGCATCCCACTAGTTACTAGTGTCAAATCAAAATATCCAC